GACTTCAGCCAGGTCACTTGAATTTTCTTCTGACCTTCCCCAGGTATAGTCGCTATTCTGACCCGATGGCAGACTGAAGCCCAGGCACACGCTTTTAATGAAAACCTGTCCTAATGTGGTATGTATACACGTAAAGGGCCTGCGCTGAGTTAGCTCACCTCAGTTTTAAAGGGGATGAAAACAGCACCAAATGTAGATCCATTCTGCATCAGCATAAACCACCTTCACAAGATGCCTGTAAAAGAGCAACAATGGTAGCTGAAAAACCTAGTTTGATACTATCGTAATCATTTCTTGCCTCTGTCCATCAATGCAGCTGCCCTGATATGCATCTTTTTATGAAAAAAGACTTCAACTGTTCACCCGTTATTTCCTCATTCGTAATTGTTCTTAGAATAAAACCATGCTGGAATTTCATTTGCATGCAGCTGTATAGAATATTTGCATTCAAATCAAAGCACGCTGGGTTGGCTTGTTAAAATATCTAGATTTTATTTCATCGTATCAACACAGCCTCTTTAGCAAGGCTCCTCCTTTGGCTATTTATTGTGTCCCCCTTGAGTTCTCTTGCCATGCCTGCCATCTCGGGTTTCTCTCTAATTCTTGGGGGTTTTGCTATGTTTTCTTTTTCTTGCATCTCATCTTTTTTCCCTCTCCTCTTTATGTCTGTATTTCTTCCTCTATTTATCTCCTCTTCTGTATATATATATTTTTTTTTCTTTCTTTTTTCCTTTCTTTCTCCCCCCTCCCCCCAGTGCTCTTTCTCCCTCTGCACAAGCTTTTCTGACTCTGGCTTTCTCTCTGTCTCCCTGGTTTCCTTTCAGTCACCTTCACTGGAATGTTGGCAGAAACGGGTTTTTTTTCTTCTTTGAAAACAAAGAGACTAAATAAGTAAATGAATAAATAAAATAGCTGGGAGCAGACGGGAGCTTTCAATTCCAGAAGGCTCTGTATTCTGCGAGCTCCTCTCACTTCTTAGCAAGGGAGGAGAGAGTTGCGGTCCCTGCCCACCCCCGGGAGCCGGGCTGCCCCCTCCCCTGGCGTGAGGCCCTTGGCTGGGAGTGATGGATTGCACTGCAGTGAGGGCTGGGAGCACTGCGGGAGCGGCGGGGGAGGGCTGGGGAAGGGCGGGCAGGGAGGGAGGAGACGCGCTGCCAGCGTCAGGACAGGAAGGATGTCGTGGGGCTGATGAGAAGGGCGGGAGGGGAGTGGGAAATGGGGACGGGGAGGACGCGCGTTTGGGCAGAGTGCGCCGTCCCAGGGCTGTCTCTTATACACAT